ATTTGGTAGACCTGGCTGAAGTGCTCCCATAGGTTCCATTTGATCGTTGACTGCTCGTAGATCGCGTAGGAGACGATATTTCCCAGATTTCTTTTTAATCACAAATATGGGGGTGTTCCAAGGGCTTGTGGACAACTTTAAATGTCCCTGGTTAAATTGCTGTTGTACTAATTGATGCGCTTGTTGGAGACTTTCCCTTTTTAGCGGCCACTGCTTAACCACTACTGGGGTATCTATCGTCCATGTCAGTGGTAGAGGGAAAGTCCAAGCAATGGCCATCAAGATAAAGGGTGGTCGTTGGTCAGCACAAGACCCAATTGTACCAGAATGTCTCGGCCAATAAGGCAGGCGACCGTAGGGGGGAGCTTGGTGATGGAAAACACGGCCGTAGCTCTTCTGCCTTCAATATCCACTGTAATAAGAGGGGTTTTATGAGCCAGCGTCATCCCTCCAATACCTGAAACTGTTGTAGTGGCAGGCTGTAGTGGCCACTCAGTTGGCCAACTCTCCGGAGCTATTATAGAGGTGTCCGCGCCAGTATCTAGTAATCCTAACAAAACCACTTTGCAGGACTGGAATATCAGCGTGCACTCCTTCCTTGGGCGGGTTGACAGATCCAGGGTTAAGAGGGTAAAGTCCTCCAGTAGATCCAAACCCCTTGTCAAGGCGAGGTTGTGACTTGAGAGGATTCAGATTCGCTGTAAATTGGGGTAAGGGTACCAACTGGGCAATTCGCTGACCTTTTAGAAGTTTTATTGGCGGATATGGTGTGTGGATCATTATCATAATTTCGCCTTGATAGTCTGCGTCAATTATTCCGGGTATAACAAATACTCCAATCATGCTTGCAGATGAGCGGCCTATTAAGAGTCCCCCCATAATTTGTCCATTTACGTTAACAGGGCCAAAGATGCCTGTGGGAACCTTGTGAGGCTGCGACGTCAATACGACCACATCTACTGAGGCTGCCAGGTCCAGGCCGAGGCTCCCCCTAGTGGCGGGCTGGGGTTGGAGCGTTGATTGTTGTTGCTCGGTGCCATGGCAGCGGCTATTTGTGTCTGGGCTTGAAGTTTCCTGTGCTTGAAGTTTCCCATGCGCCGCTTACACATGCTGGTATTGTGCGTAGTCGAGTGGCACTTTTTGCACCAGACTCCAGAAGCTTGACATTCCTTGCGAACACGTCCTTGGTTGCCACAGCGGTAGCAGCGTATGCAGGAATTGTTGGTTGACCGGGGGCTGAGAGCTGCCGCCTGGAGGGGCGCAAGAGCCGCCAACACTTGCGCTTGGGAGCTTTCAGAGTGTTTCTGCAAGAGTCGAGCCTGCTCCTTTATCCCCTCCCCTGGCCTCTCTATAGCACTAACCAGTAATGCCTGCGTGCCGGTGGGCGTTTGCTGCTTTCTCTAACAAATCGGGCAAGGATCAGTCACCCAGCATGGAATTCAATAATGTACGAGTAGTCGGACCGCCATTTTGTAGGATACACTGCTTAAGTAAAGGCCCTTGCATGTAATCTGGGACGCCTGCCTTCGTAATGGCGTCCATCAGCCTGTCCACGAACGCGCCTAAGGGTTCATCCCTATTCTGTTTAATTCCCATGTATATGGGCGTCCCACCTGGAGACTTAATTCACAGAATCACAGAATCACCTGGGTTGGAAGGGAGCTCAAGGATCACGCAGTTCCAACCCCCCTGCCCAGCAGGGCCACCAAACACACACAGTCACATCAGGTTGCCCAGGACCCCGTCCAAGCTGGCCTTGAACACGGCCAAGGACGGGGCATCCACAACCTCCCTGGGCAGCCCGTTCCAGGCCCTAACCGCTCTCCTTGGGAAGAGCTTCCCCCTCACATCCAACCTCAACCTTCCCTCCCTCAGCTTGGATGGGTTCCTATGGCTTCCTATGGGGCTCTGTGGGTTCCTATGGGGCTCTGTGGGCTCCTATGGGTTCCTATGGGGCTCTGTGGGTTCCTATGGGTTCCTATGGGTTCCTATGGGGCTCTATGGGTCCCCTTGGTTCCTATGGGTTCCCATGGGTTCCCATGGGTTCCCATGGGGCTCTATGGGTTCCTATGGGGCTCTATGGGTCCCCTTGGTTCCTATGGGTTCTATGGGTTCCCATGGGTTCCTATGGGTCCCCTTGGTTCCTATGGGTTCTATGGGTTCCCATGGGTTCCTATGGGGCTCTATGGGTTCCTATGGGGCTCTATGGGTCTCCTTGGTTCCTATGGGTTCCTATGGGGCTCTATGGGTTCCTATGGGGCTCTATGGGTCCTCTTGGTTCCTATGGGTTCTATGGGTTCCTATGGGGCTCTATGGGTCCCCTTGGTTCCTATGGGTTCCCATGGGTTCCCATGGGGCTCTATGGGTTCCTATGGGGCTCTATGGGTCCCCTTGGTTCCTATGGGTTCTATGGGTTCCCATGGGGCTCTATGGGTTCCTATGGGGCTCTATGGGTCCCCTTGGTTCCTTGGATCCATTTCCCCTCGTCCTGCTGCTGTCAGCCCTTTGCAAGAGTTGCCTCCCCTCCTGGCTGTAGGTTCCCTTCAGCTATCGATAGGCTGCACTGAGCTCAGCCCGCAGCTTCTCTTCTCCAGGCTGAACGAGCCCAACTCCCTCAGCCTGTCCTCATAGGGGAGCTGCTCCAGCCCCCTGCTCATCTCAGTCGCCCTCCTCTGGACCCTTTCCAACATCTCTCTGTCTTTCTTGTCCTGAGGGCTCCACACCTGGACACGGGACTCCAGATGGGGCCTCACAAGAGCCGAGTAGAGAGGGACGATCACCTCCCTGTCCCTGCTGACCACCCCTCTGCCGATGGAGCCCGGGACCCCATTTGCCTTTCGAGCTGCCAGAGCGCACTGCTGCCTCGTGTTCAGCCTCTCATCCCTCAGGACCCCCAGGCCCACTCCTCCCAGCCTCTACGGGTGCCTGGGGTTCTTCCGGCCCCAATACAAAACCTTGCACTTTGCCGTGTTGAACCTCATCAGGTTCACCCGAGCCCAGCCCTCCAGCCTGTCGAGGTCCCTCTGAATGGCATCCCTTCCTTCCGCCGTATCAACCGCACCACTCAGCTCGGTGTCGTCAGCAAATTGCTGAGGGTGCACTCAATTCCTTCATCGATGTCATTAATAAAGATGTTAACGAGCACCGGTCCCAAGACAGACCCTTGGGGGACACCACTTGTTACCGGCCTCCACCTGGACACAGAGCCATTGACCACCACCCTCTGTCTGCAGCCTTTCAACCAATTGCTCATCCATCGGGTCGTCCACCCATCAAATCCACTTCCCTCCAATTTGGAGATGAGGATGTGGTGGGGGACCATGTCAAAGGCCTTGCTCAGGTCCAGGTAAATGACATCGGTCGCCTTCCCTTCGTCCACCGATGCCGTCACTCCATCATAGAAGGCCACAAGATGAGTCAGGCATGACCTTCCCTTGGTGAAGATTCGTTTCATAGCACGCATTGCCATGGTCATCGCCTCTCGCAGCACATCAGGACCCGCGGTAGCCTGAGCCTCTATCCGAACCCACGGTCCTAAGCCCATTAACTGTTCTGCAGTGATGCCCTGGAGGGGGTCCCCGGGCCCCCTTTGAACCAATGCCGATGCAGTAGCCTCATGCTGCCAATGTGCATTAGAAAGGAGCAATTGATGTGGGGAGCACATCAAACGGGCAATACTCCTGATATCCGTCGGGAGTAAAATACGCGCATTAAAAAGAAATTCAAGCATTTGATTCGCTGGTTCACTCGCAACCCCATAACTCCCTACGGTGGCGCGTAGTTGAGATAGCAATTTCCAGTCCAGAGTCCGAATCTCAGCGTTCAAACCGCCTTGAGGGTTCTGGGTGAACAGAACTGGAAAAGCTCAATTCTCACCAGCCGCCTCTACCAGATCAGCATCGCCAGCCGCAAGTCCCTCCCTGGCCAAGCAAGCCCATAACTCTCGCCGTTCTCTGGCCATTGCCTCAAACAAGTCCGATTCTGCCCCTGGAACAGGATCCACACTCGCCCTTTCTGACGGCGGTTCGGGAACTGAAACGGCGCTCTGCGGGGCATCGGCCCCCTGACTCAGCGGGAGGCTGAGGGCGCAACAGGTGTGGGGACGTCACTGTGCCAAACGCCGGCGGATCCGGGGCGCCAGCCTCTGCCCCATAATCCTGCTTTTTCTGTTGCGCTGCCTGTGCTCCCCGAGCCGCCCGTTTCTCCGCCTGACTCTTCAGTATCTCATCCTGCACCACTTTCCACATCCGTTTAGCTGATTTAGGGTCATTCAAAACCAACTCCCATAACTTATCCCCGTACCTCCTCCATTCTCCTAACTCATGCACAGTGTGTGGGTTAGTGAAAAACCCGCAAGACACGGCATGTTGTAACAGCTGAGGGAGCTCCTTATCTAAATCCATACCCTTGACCCGTCTGCGACGCAGGAAAAGGGAAAATAAATCATATGCTGCTTGCCCATCCATTCCCTCTGTTGCAACCCTCCAGGCTTCGGCAGCACGTATCGGCTGAGCCCACCGATGTGGTCGCTCAGGACGCGAAGCACCTTGCTTTTATCGTCGTCCTGCGTTGCCGCAGGACCCGAACCCAACGGGGCTCCTTTATCCTTGGCCGCCCTTGTAGCACGTCGGGGTCACCGTTTGTTGAAAGGAGCCGCGGGAGACAAGCGTCTCGCTATCATGGTCAGCAAGTCACGTTTATTGGTTACCAAAGATTATCTCTTATACAGGTCTTACTGATCCTCATACATAGTGCAAAAGCGAGCTCATCATTGGTGCTCAAAGCTGAATGCCAATCCCTGCCATCTTATGCCTGTTCTTCATTCCTTAGATATTGCTTCTGTTTCTCTGTATCCACCACGTCCTGTGTCCTTGCTGCGGTAACAATTTAGACAAGCTGGGTTCTGTAACCCTGCAGCTCGTGATCAGTGAGCGGCACCCTGCTTGTGTGCCCTTTGTCACGTCGCCATTCCTCCACAAATGTGTCTCTATGGGTCCCAATGTGTCTCTATGGCTCCCAACGTGCCTCAATGGGTCCCAATGGCTCTCAACGTGTCTCTATGGATCCCAATGTGTCTCTACGGGTCCCAAAGTGTCTCTATGGGTCCCAGTGGGTCTCAACGTGTCTCTATGGGTCCCAATGTGTCTCTATGGGTCTCAACGTGCCTCTATGGGTCCCAGTGTGTCTCTATGGGTCTCAACGTGCCTCTATGGGTCTCAACGTGTCTCTATGGGTCTCAGTATATCTCTATGCGTCCCAACGTGTCTCTATGGGTCCCAACGTGTCTCTATGGGTCTCAACGTGTCTCTATGGGTCCCAACGTGTCTCTATGGGTCCCAATTGTCTCTATGGCTCCCAACGTGCCTCAATGGGTCCCAATGGCTCTCAACGTGTCTCTATGGGTCCCAATGTGTCTCTATGGGTCTCAACGTATCTCTATGGGTCCCAACGTGTCTCTATGGGTCCCAAAGTGTCTCTATGGGTCCCAACGAGTCTCTATGGGTCCCAATGGGTCTCTATGGGTCCCAATGTGTCTCTATGGGTCTCAACGTATCTCTATGGGTCCCAACGTGTCTCTATGGGTCCCAAAGTGTCTCTATGGGTCCCAAAGTGTCTCTTTGGTTCCAACGTGTCTCTATGGGTCCCAATGTGTCTCTATGGGTCCCAATGGGTTTCAATTTGTCTCTATGGCTCTCAAGGTGTCTCTATGGGTCTCTATGGGTCTCTATGGGTCCCAACGTGTCTCAATGGGTCCCAATGTGTTTCTATGAGTCTCTATGGGTCTCAAAATGTCTCTATGGGCCTCAACGTGTCTCTATGGATCCCAATGTGTCTCTATGGGTTCCAAAGTGTCTCTTTGGTACCAACGTGTCTCTATGGGTCCCAATGTGTCTCTATGGGTCCCAATGTGTCTCTATGGGTCCCAACGTGTCTCTATGGGTCCCAACGTGTCTCTATGGGTCCCAATTGTCTCTATGGCTCCCAACGTGCCTCAATGGGTCCCAATGGGTCCCAATGTGTCTCTATGGATCTCAACGTGTCTCTATGGGTCCCAATGTGTCTCTATGGGTCCCAACGTGTCTCTATGGGTCCCAATGTGTCTCTATGGGTCCCAATGTGTCTCTATGGCTCCCAACGTGCCTCAATGGGTCCCAATGGCTCTCAACGTGTCTCTATGGATCCCAATGTGTCTCTATGGGTCACAATGTGCCTCTATGGGTCTCAGTGTATCTCTATGGGCCTCAACGTGTCTCAATGGGTCCCAATGTGTCTCTATGGGTCACAATGTGCCTCTATGGGTCTCAGTGTATCTCTATGGGTCTCAACGTGTCTCTATGGGTCCCAATGTGTCTCTATGGGTCCCAATTGTCTCTATGGATCCCAACATGCCTCAATGGGTCCCAATGGTCTCAACATGTCTCAATGGGTCCCAACGTGTCTCTATGGGTCCCAAAGTGTCTCTATGCGTCCCAACGTGTCTCTATGGGTCCCAACGTGTCTCTATGGGTCCCAATGTGTCTCTATGGGTCCCAACGTGTCTCTATGGGTCCCAACGTGTCTCTATGGGTCCCAACGTGCCTCAATGGGTCCCAGTGTGTCTCTATGGCTCCCAACGTGCCTCAATGGGTCCCAATGGCTCTCAGCGTGTCTCTATGGGTCCCAATGTGTCTCTTTGGTTCCAACATGTCTCTATGGGTCTCAACGTGTCTCTATGCGTCTCAACGTGTCTCTATGGGCCTCAACGTGTCTCTATGTGTCCCAACGTGTCTCTATGGGTCCCAATGTGTCTCTATGGCTCCCAACGTGCCTCAATGGGTCCCAATGGGTCACAATGTGTCTCTATGGATCTCAACGTGTCTCTATGGGTCCCAATGTGTCTCTATGGGTCCCAACGTGTCTCTATGGGTCCCAATGTTTCTCTTTGGTTCCAACGTGTCTCTATGGGTCTCAATGTGTCTCTATGGGTCCCAATGTGTCTCTATGGCTCCCAACGTGCCTCAATGGGTCCCAATGGCTCTCAACGTGTCTCTATGGATCCCAATGTGTCTCTATGGGTCCCAAAGTGTCTCTATGGGTCCCAGTGGGTCTCAACGTGTCTCTATGGGTCCCAGTGTGTCCCTATGGGTCTCAACGTGCCTCTATGCGTCCCAACGTGTCTCTATGGGTCCCAACGTGTCTCTATGGGTCTCAACGTGTCTCTATGGGTCCCAACGTGTCTCTATGAGTCCCAATTCTCTATGGCTCCCAACGTGCCTCAATGGGTCCCAATGGGTCTCAACATGTCTCAACGGGTCCCAACGTGTCTCTATGGGTCCCAATGTGTCTCTATGGGTCCCAACGTGTCTCTATGGGTCCCAATTGTCTCTATGGCTCCCAACGTGCCTCAATGGGTCCCAATGGGTCACAATGTGTCTCTATGGATCTCAACGTGTCTCTATGGGTCCCAATGTGTCTCTATGGGTCCCAACGTGTCTCTATGGGTCCCAATGTGTCTCTTTGGTTCCAACGTGTCTCTATGGGTCACAATGTGTCTCTATGGGTCCCAATGTGTCTCTATGGCTCCCAACGTGCCTCAATGGGTCCCAATGGCTCTCAACGTGTCTCTATGGATCCCAATGTGTCTCTATGGGTCCCAATGTGTCTCAATGGGTCTCAGTGTATCTCTATGGGCCTCAACGTGTCTCTATGGGTCCCAACGTGTCTCTATGGGTCCCAATGTGTCTCTATGGATCCCAACGTGCCTCAATGGGTCCCAATGGGTCTCAACATGTCTCTATGTGTCCCAATGTGTCTCTATGTGTCCCAATGTGTCTCTATGGGTCCCAACGTGTCTCTATGGGTCCCAACGTGTCTCTATGGGTCCCAATGTGTTTCTATGGGTTTCAACGTGTCTCTATGGGTCCCAACGTGTCTCTATGGGTCCCAACGTGTCTCTATGGGTTTCAATGTGTCTCTATGGGTCCCAATGTGTCTCTGTGGGTCTCAGTGTGTCTCTATGCGTCCCAACGTGTCTCTATGGGTCCCAAAGTGTCTCTATGGGTCCCAACGTGTCTCTATGGGTCCCACCGTGTCTCTATGGGTCCCAATTGTCTCTATGGCTCCCAACGTGCCTCTATGGGTCTCAATGGGTCTCAACGTGTCTCTATGGATCCCAATGTATCTCTGTGGGTCCCAATGTGTCTCTATGGGTCCCAATTGTCTCTGTGGGTCCCAATGTGTCTCTATGCGTCCCAGTGGGTCCCACCGTGTCTCTATGGGTCCCAGTGTGTCTCTATGGTTCTCAACATGCCTCTATGGGTGCCAGTGTTTCTCTATGCGTCCCAATGGGTCTCAATGTGTCTCTATGGGTCTCAAGGTGTCTCTATGGGTCCCAATGCGTCTCTATGGATCTCAATGTTTCTCTATGTGTCCCAATTGTCTCTATGGGTCCCAACGTGTCTCTATGGGTTTCAACGTGTCTCTATGGTTCCCAACGTGTCTCTTTGGGTCTCAGTTGTATCTATGGGTCCCAGTGTGTCTCTATGGCTCCCAACGTGTCTCTATGGGTCCCAACGTGTCTCTATGGGTCTCAGTGTATCTCTATGGGTCCCAACGTGTCTCTATGGGTCCCAACGTGTCTCTATGGGTCCCAACGTGTCTCTATGGGTCCCAACGTGTCTCTTTGGGTCTCAGTTGTATCTATGGGTCCCAGTGTGTCTCTATGGCTCCCAACGTGTCTCTATGGGTCCCAACGTGTCTCTATGGGTCTCAGTGTATCTCTATGGGTCCCAACGTGTCTCTATGGGTCCCAACGTGTCTCTATGGGTCCCAATGTGTCTCTATGGGTCCCAACGTGTCTCTATGGGTCCCAACGTGTCCCTATGGTCCCACTGCTCACTGCAGCAGGCTGCCCAGGGAGGTGCTGGAGTCTCCTGCTCTGCAGATGTTCCAGAGCTGCCTGCATGCCGAGCTGTGCGACTGCTGTAGGAACGGCTTGGGCAGGGGGTTGGACTGCATGAGCTCTGGAGGCCCCTTCTGACCCCTACAGTTCTGTGATGCTGGGATTCTGTGTTCCCTACGTTCCCCCCACAGTTCCTTCCCTGCTCCCACTGCATTTTCTTCCCGTTGTCCAGTTTGAGCAGCACATCCTGATCCAGCCATGCTGGTCTCTTCCTTTTCTTTCCCGACGTCTTTCACCCAGGGATCGAGAGCTCTTGTGCCTGACGAAAAGCTGCCTTAAAGGTCTGACAGCTCTGCTGCACTCCCTTGTCCCTGCAGATGCTTTTGAAGGGGCTCTTGCTGCCCAAGCTCCCTGAAGAGCCCAAGGTTGGCTTTCCTATCATTGAGCATCCTGATTTCGCGCTCTGTCCCCCGTCCTTCAGGACTGCGAATTCCAGCGCTGCAGGCTCCCAACAGGCCAGGCCTGGATGTCAGCACCCCGTCCACGTGTGCTGCTGAGCAACAGGTCCCCCATTCTACCATCCTGCGATTCCTTGCCTCCCTGCAGCCCCGCAGGAAGGCCAGGAGCCGCCACACGGTTGTCCCTCGCAGGACATCACTCAGCCCACTTCTCACTGAGCGTGGAAAAGCTCCGCGCCAAGTGGGAGAGACAGGACTTCCCTGCCGGGCTCTGCATCCCAGCCTTGGCCTTTCAGCTCCACCATCAAACCGTGGGCTGCAGCCGAGAACAAAAGCATCCACGCAGGGTCTCTGCCTGCCTGCAATCACAGCCTCCTTGCGCTGACGAGTGCACAGGGAGGCTTTATTGGCCATGGCTCCGTTAGCGCTAATTGATGCTCCAAGGTTCTGTAGCGTTTCCTTCTGACTGTGCTTTTGTCCTGTGGTTCCATCAGTCAGTATCTGCAGTGCTTGGACTGCACACCAAATGCACCGGGGCATTAATTGCAGTGATCGAGGCCTAATGAGCCATTTCCCTCCACTCGTCAAGCTGGGTACTCTTAATTACGGCATTAATTACAGTGACCGAGGCCTAATGAGCCATTTCCCTGCACTCGTCAAGCTGGCTACTCTTAATTACGGCGTTAATTGCAGTGACCGAGGCCTAATGAGCCATTTCCCTCCACTCGTCACGCTGGCTACTCTTAATTAGGGCATTAATTACAGTGATCGAGGCCTAATGAGCCATTTCCCTCCACTCGTCACGCTGGGTACTCTTAATTATGGCATTAATTACAGTGACCGAGGCCTAATGAGCCATTTCCCTCCACTCGTCACGCTGGCTACTCTTAATTACGGCATTAATTACAGTGATCGAGGCCTAATGAGCCATTTCCCTCCACTCGTCACGCTGGGTACTCTTAATTACGGCATTAATTACAGTGATTGAGGCCTAATGAGCCATTTCCCTCCACTCGTCAAGCTGGGTACTCTTAATTAGGGCATTAATTACAGTGATCGAGGCCTAATGAGCCATTTCCCTCCACTCGTCAAGCTGGGTACTCTTAATTACGGCATTAATTACAGTGACCGAGGCCTAATGAGCCATTTCCCTCCACTCGTCACGCTGGCTACTCTTAATTACGGCATTAATTACAGTGATCGAGGCCTAATGAGCCATTTCCCTCCACTCGTCAAGCTGGCTACTCTTAATTACGGCATTAATTACAGCGATCGAGGCCTAATGAGCCATTTCCCTCCACTCGTCAAGCTGGGGACTCTTAATTATGGCATTAATTACAGTGACCGAGGCCTAATAAGCCATTTCCCTCCACTCGTCAAGCTGGGTACTCTTAATTACGGCATTAATTGCAGTGACCGAGGCCTAATGAGCCATTTCCCTCCACTCGTCAAGCTGGCTACTCTTAATTACGGCATTAATTACAGTGACCGAGGCCTAATGAGCCATTTCCCTCCACTCGTCAAGCTGGGGACTCTTAATTACGGCATTAATTACAGTGACCGAGGCCTAATGAGCCATTTCCCTCCACTCGTCACGCTGGCTACTCTTAATTACGGCATTAATTACAGTGACCGAGGCCTAATGAGCCATTTCCCTCCACTCGTCACGCTGGCTACTCTTAATTATGGCATTAATTACAGTGACCGAGGCCTAATGAGCCATTTCCCTCCACTCGTCAAGCTGGGGACTCTTAATTACGGCATTAATTACAGTGACCGAGGCCTAATGAGCCATTTCCCTCCACTCGTCAAGCTGGGGACTCTTAATTATGGCATTAATTACAGTGACCGAGGCCTAATGAGCCATTTCCCTGCACTCGTCACGCTGGCTACTCTTAATTATGGCATTAATTACAGTGACCGAGGCCTAATGAGCCATTTCCCTCCACTCGTCACGCTGGCTACTCTTAATTATGGCATTAATTACAGTGACCGAGGCCTAATGAGCCATTTCCCTGCACTCGTCAAGCTGGCTACTCTTAATTACGGCATTAATTACAGTGACCGAGGCCTAATGAGCCATTTCCCTCCACTCGTCAAGCTGGCTACTCTTAATTACGGCATTAATTACAGTGACCGAGGCCTAATGAGCCATTTCCCTCCACTCGTCAAGCTGGCTACTCTTAATTACGGCATTAATTACAGTGACCGAGGCCTAATAAGCCATTTCCCTCCACTCGTCAAGCTGGGTACTCTTAATTACGGCATTAATTACAGTGACCAAGGCCTAATAAGCCATTTCCCTGCACTCGTCAAGCTGGCTACTCTTAATTACGGCATTAATTACAGTGACCGAGGCCTAATGAGCCATTTCCCTCCACTCGTCACGCTGGCTGCTCTTCATCAGGGCGCTTCATAGCGGCACTAAAAGAGGCCGTTTCCACAGATCCTTTTCCTCACTGGGCTTTTCGCACTGCAGAGCCCTTTTTCCTCCTCTGCTGCCCATCGCAGCAGCGTTTGGAGCTCAGTGCCTGTTGTGCTTCTTCAGGCTGCCTCCCAAGATGTCTGGCAAAGCCCCTGCGCTGACACCCTTCCTCCTCGCTGCTCTTCCCACCACGTTGCTCAGCAGTCGGCCGGGCTTCCAGCGCTTCTTTGCTGCCGGCTTCACTGCAGCTGCGTTTTCCAGCTCCTTGGCACCAACTCCCGCCTGCTTTCCCCGCAGAAATCCCTGCTCGCAGGCACAGAAGGGTTTTCTTTTCCTCTCTCATTTTCTTTAGGAGCAAAACGTGTCAGATTGACGACGACAGGAGACCGCGGCCCTAAGCTGTGTGCCGAAAGCAGCTGCCTGCCATGAAGTTTGTTTCTCACCAAGGATAACCGTGCAGGAA